GCCGTTGTTTATCGTCCCCCAATGTCCACCCAAGAGATGGACTCCCGTCTGACATTGGCTCTGTGAATGGTCTTACGAGGACGATACAGCTACGTTCTCATCTCTGGTGACTTCAACATTCACAATTTGGAACTTCCGACATCCCCAACGAGCAATTCAAGGCAGACCTGCAAGAGCATATTGCAAACATTTTGCTCTTCAGCCACGTCAGTTCGCCCACTCGATTCAGATCCGGAAATAAAACATTTTCGCTTGATCTAGTGCTCACAAAGGCAGAGCTCATCATTGTGAAACCAAGGATGCAGAGCTCTCTGGGGCGGAGCGACCACGTAACCATAATTTACGACTTCGTGTCTTATGCGGAGTATCCACGAGAGTAGGCTAACATTTTACGAACAATCACCCAGTACGACATACTGGCAGAAATTGTGGGAGATGCCAGCTGGGCGTTTTAAGACGACAGTTCCTTTGACAGCGCTTTGTTGGATTTTACTAGCAAGTTCAGTGATCTGACTAAATCTGCATCGGTCAATAAGCCCCTTCATTCCGCAAGAGCATAATCATTCATTCAGAGCAGAACCGGAAAACACATGGCAGTAAGACGCCGCGTGGCTTGTGTATAAAGCGAACCCTAGCCCTCACAACTGGAGTAACTATTTTGTGCATCGTAATCAATGTACCACATTGGTGTGTCAGGAGAAATTAGCACAATGACAGACTCTAGCGGAAAAGTTTGTGTTAACACAAAGCTTCTGTACAGACATGTGAAAAGTCGCCGGAATGTGAAACGTGGTTTTCTCCCACTAATATCAGCAGATGGATGTGCTCAAACCAATGTGCATGCAGCCAACGTTCTACAGCTCCAATATGCCCCAATTTTCCGACGTGCTATCAGCATGTGTAAAATACCTGTCCCAATATCCCAGGAGCTAGTATTTACACACGTCCCTTTTAGTTGGGCAACCGTTTTAAGAAAGTGCTATCGTTGCGCACCCACAGTTCCCCCGAAAGCACTGTAGTTAACAGCTACGAGGATAGCTGAACCATTAGAGAGATTTTTTCAAAGATGCCTGGACGAACAGTAGGTCTTTAGCATGTGAAGTCAAGGCATCATTATCCCGATTTTCAAGAGTGGTAGCCGTTCCGAGCCCGCCAACTATCGCCCAGGGGTTCTTTTTCGGTACTCTCAAAGATGATCGAATCGATCATGGCTGATGCCGTAAAAGACTAATTCGAAAAGTTTAACATCATAGCACCGGAGCAACACAGATTTCGTCAGCATCGCTCATGTACAACCAACCTACTACTTACCCGTGGCATTTGGACCGATAGAGCCGACAATGGGACCGGCGTTGATGTCATCTACCTAGACTTATCTAAAGCCTTCGATCGCATAGATCACCTCATTCTTCTTCAAAAGCTGCAGCCGTACGGAGTTGGGAATCCTGTCCTAGGATGTATTGGAAACTTCCTCCTTCAGCGGCGCCTTCAGCTTCCAACTAGGGGCCCATTTTCTGATGCATTTACTGTGGACTGTGGTGTTCCACAAGGGGCAGGGGTTATCCTTGTTTTACATTAACGACCTTGCGGGTGTCATCAAGTCAACTTTCCCGCTTTTGCCAATGACAAGATATGGCGGACAACGGGCTGTCAGGAAAATCACGATATGCTGCAACGAGAGTTAGACCACGAGTTTGAATCATCACAGGTAAATCTACTTCTGTTTAACACGGACAAGTGCAAAACCATGCATGTCCGCCACAAGCCCAAGTATGCATAGAACTTGGAGATCACATGCTGAAAACCGCCAAACATGTGACAGACTTTGGGGTGGTGATACAAGTCGACCTCGGTTGTTCGGCGTAGTCCTTGAGTGTCCAAAACCGCGAAACAAGATGTTGGTTTTTTACCGATGGCGTTCGGATGGTTCGATCCCTCCATCTTCCCCCAAATGCTCAATGCGTATGTGAGGCCTCATGTAGAGTACACGATATTGCCTTGGAAACCGGAGTTAAAAGGCGATCTGACTACGTTGGATACCGCCCAGCGAAGGGCAAAGAAAAATGTGAATGGGTTGTCCCATCTTCAATACCATAGGCGACTGAGAGCCCTAAGAGTGTACATCGGAAGATATTGCCGTCTACGGGGTGACGTCATCCTGGCGTTCAAGATCTTGAAAAACCCCGCTCATGCTTGCCGCCACCTTCTGAAGCTTAGCCGCAATACGAAATTGAGGGGTCGTAACTTAAAAGTTCCCACTCGCTAGGGTCAACTGGAATGCCGGCAGAATTATTTTTCCCATCGAGATTGTCAAGCGTGGAACGCGCTTTCCACTTCTGTCATTTCCGCGCCCAAAATACCCATACTTAAAACTGAGTCGACGATGCTTTACACCGCCTACATTACTAGACCTGATTTCTATTTATTGAGTGATCAGAAGACGCATAAACATTGTGCTCACCAACTAAACGAAATGGGGGTCGGCGGATATACCTTTGTGTTAACATAGATAATGTGGTGAGTCCACAGATGCACTTTATAACTTTTGTACAACTTTTGTTGAACTAACGTTATTCCCACAAACAATCCTACGGGACTTGTCAAGCCTTGGCTTTTTATCCGTATTATACCATTGTTCCATCTAACAGTATAAGTAGCTCAAGGCGATATCCAACCGATTTTCGAAAAATCGCAAAGTTGCGAGCACAACCAACAGTGTTCGAAAGGGTGTTCCAGGTTGGCAGACTTGGAAAGAAAAATAGGTTCGTCTACAACTTAAACGACTGTGTTGTTGAGTCAGTTTCAGGCGAATATCTCTCATGCTTGTGTTCTGACTGAATTTCAAAAGATGGCGGTAAACCTGACTAAGGTCGCTCGGCCACGCATATACCGTCCTGTTGCATTGTTATTGGATCATGTGCACTAGAGATGGTGTCTACAGACACAAGAAATAGTTAGGCCTGACGTGATATATTCTAGGGTCTACTCTCGTTTCAACACACCATGTACGTGCCAGGTCCACAGTTGTGGCAAAGTAATTTTCTGTCTCGATTTAACTTACTTCAGAAAAATACATTTGTTGCGTACCATCATTAGACAAGCGAAACAAAGACCTAAGTTTGGAAAGCAACGGCAGCCATGCGATGTATGAAGATTAAGAATTGCGGCTATCGTCAACTCATGAAATTAGCTGAAATTAGCAGCTCCTAATCTTTCGGCGGCCAATTTCAAACGGGAAACTCGAAGTACGTTATGTTTGTTGTAAAATTTCGCAGTCATAACAAGAGACAGAGGCTTAGGTTAGATTTTTCTGCTGTGCTGCCTTGCATGCATCGCATACCTCAATTTCCACCTATGCATATCACCCATCAAGAGCATGGATACTTTTGTACAAACTGATCTGTGCCGCTGCGGACGCAGTTTCTCTCATCAAGAGAAGTATACGTATTTTTGTTATTATCTATGGTATTATGTGGGATCCGTCTCAGACGGGCATTATTCGTAACTCTGTGGTTTCTGGAGAAAGGCTTCGGCCGATTTCTCTACATCCTGTATTCGAGTCTCCGTCTCGCCATCTCTACCATACAAGTGTACATAACTTTGAAACCAGTTGTGACGTGCAGGGCTACGATCAAACCTCACTGTTGCAAAATAACTTAAAAATCACCCGTGGCACTACCCGTTTTGTAACGCTCCTTTCTAACAGTTGTTAAAATATTATGTATCTTCCGGAATAGCCATGAAGAATGCACCCATATTTCCGCTGGAAACGTGACCGTTGTTTTCGACAACAGAATTTCGTTCACGGATGTGGTTCATGAAACCCATATCAAGAGAATCGGTCCAGCTAATACTATATTATGGTTGACTAGTCGAAAAGACAAAGAATGCCACCTCGAGCTTTGGTGGTGCTGAAGCATCCCATAAAGATACTCAGAGTGTGGTGAAAAGCCCCTGACGAAAAGATCACTTTACGCCGATACGGAATTCTTGGCGTGTTAAGGGATTTGTGTTGTAATCAAATGTGATCAAAGAACTGCATATGTTAAATACGCATTTGATTTCGCAGGCTAACTAATGGATGAAACTGAGCGCTTTCGTAGTTTTCACGCGAAATATTTTAAACCGTAGCGTATTAAAACAATTGGCCTACGGCTCCCACTATTTATTATTTAGGCATCTTTGAAGCGTGGGTGACAGTCAGATGTAATGGAAAGGAATACAACGTCCGTTTTACGCGCAGTTCATCTATGGTGTCATTCAGCTCAACATATAGTTTGTCAGGTCAGTAGTAGCACCTGTAGCATTTGAAGGTCAGACCAGTTAATTCACGCCGAAGTAAAAGCCACTTGTCTCAATGAAACAGAATTACACTCTCCTGCGAATGTCCACACTAATCTTCGGCTCACTGAGTTGTGACTTTGGTCTACATGTGAACTCAGTGAAGCCTAAAACTTAACCTGTAAATCGGTAGCTAGTTGCCTAAGAAAATCACGTTACTGGTTGTCGATGATGAAAATTAAAATTGGAGTAGAATTCATTTATGTAGACATCATTTTGCAGACTGCTACGTAGCCTTTACTACTTGTGACCACATTTCTAGCTATAGGGTTACTTGAGAACCATATTCATCCTGTCCTTAGGTTGGGCACTCTTGGAGACCTTAAAGAACAAAACAATTGGAGTAAAGCTACCGTAAGTTAACCAGACAAGGGACTGGATCCAAATGATCAACATAGAGAGATCCAGATCCATAAGGTTACCGTGGCGGACTTTGAAAGGTGGAGGAAATGATCAACTTGGCGAGACGGTCAAAATATAGAAGTGGCCCACCTCGTAGTTGCTATTGTAGCTGGAACATTATTCCATCGAAGAACGGGTAAACTATGATAGCAAGTACTTTGTAAACAAAACACCTAAAGCTAATACATAAAGCCCGGTGTTGATAACCGATTATTAATGGCAGGTGTATAGACAGAATTACTAAAAAGACGATGAGGCATGGTAGATAACTGACGCCCATTTACCGGTGCGCGTAGAAACGAAAGCTTGAAGATCGAACAAATTCAGTGGATCATTTCAACCGCATGATATGTATATTTTATAAAGTGCTAAGCATTAAAAATTCGTTGGAAAAATATCTCAGGGCGATCAGGTAAGATCGGCAGGGTTCTGAAGGAATGTTAGTATTGTAAGTGAAGCAGAAAGAGAACTGTTAAGAAATAAATCAACCGAGAGACTTTGATTGCGTGGCCTCGGCAGATGAAGTTGTAACGAAAGTCGGGGCCATCTGTAAAAAGAAGGAACACAATGTACAACCTTGTGAACGTCATTTATAGAAAGTACATAGAAATAGCCGTAACTAGAGCTACCTCTAATGTACTCGGAACAGTGTGCTATGAAAACTGCAATCAACGTGTTTCACTTGGCCTAGATGATGTCTAAGTGCATCACTATTTTGTCTGAAAGTTCGAGAACTGAATTGCAAAACTGACATCAGATGATTAAGCGGTATGACAGTTGATACTCCGATAGTTAGACTTCAAAGTGGCATGCATCGCTATCAGTAACTTTAACCACGTTTGCTGCAGCTTTTGTAATAGTCCTAGAGATCATAAATCGAAGTTGACCATGCGGCCAAGCAGCATTTAACCGGGATAGATTGCTTTTCCAATTGTGTCAGCCAAGTAGGCACTAACCAGTTTATGCGACATGACCCAAGCCGCGTACTTCGGAAGATGAAGTAATCCGAGCAGACACAAGGAAAGCCATGTTTGTGTGATTATCATGCTGGGTGAACAAACACACAGCTTAGCGTAACAACACATTGATTATGGAGCTTGTCATTCCCATCCTGAACCTCGAACAGGATTTTTGCAAATAACCAAATAATGTCCCAGGGTTCCAGTTCACATAAAGATTCTTTTGCTTAAAACGGTTGGCAACAAATGGAAATAACTCTACATGATCTAGCGTTAAATCAAGCCATCCAGCCAACGTGCTCTAAGATTCTCTCAGGACCATTGCGTAACCATAGCACAAACGCTCCCGAACCTAAATGTTACTTCAAGTTGGCAAGTGAAGGACACAAAGGTTCATCTTGCGATGCAGATGCAACTCAGATAAGCTTCATGCTGGGCGACCATAATTCTTCGGTTGACGGTAGTACGGAGTTATTTGGACGCATTTATGGGTGCTAGAAGTCATTAAAATAAGGCAGTTCCGTTGGCATGGTGTTGTGAGCAGTGTGACGCAAATGACCGCGGTTTTTCATTGGATTTGGAGTGTATAAGTTTAGAATTTTAAGAAATTACAAGGTGCAGTTTAGAAGAGAGCAAAGTAGTCAAGTTGCAACTTGATCTGAAATAGGCGAATCAAGACAAATACCATTCACTTTGGACCTATAAGGAGATGGAATTCATTTTTGCTTTCATCCATTCTAATGAATTGCTAGGACATACGAAAATAATGGTTAACGGGAAGTCACAGCAGTTTTAACTTCCGCTATCTGACGCCGAAGAAGCAACCGTAATTCATACCCGCAACTGTAAAAAAAATTAGAAATAATTACCCTACTTTTAGAGTAGAACCGATCTAACCCGATTAGAGCTAAGAGTCCGGAGAATCCAAAGCCAGAAGGCGCCATGGAACTGTGCTCAAGCATTGTGACTGGGAACCGAGAAAGGAAAAACCAGTATGTTCCGAGTGCAGTGTGCTAATGACTACAGGTGAGCGTGTGTTCCCGTGCAAATATATGTATACTTTTCAAAATAAAACACTGCTTTTGTCCGGTCAACAAACATGCAACTGCAGTGAAAGTTCCTTTCGTAGAAGATCCCACATGATTCAACCTTAGTCACTAGCATTAAGCTGTGCTTTTGGACTTCACTTGCTTGCACAGGGTGCGTCGTCTGATTTGTTCCCTTCTTCAAACACAGTCCACTCACTCAGTATCGCGCGTGTCCTGGGAGTTTATGAGAAGTCCACTAACACAGTTCAACCCTGAAACCACAACACCCATATTTGGTCACTGGAATTTTGAGATAATAGTGATATTTGTATTACTTTCCTGCATAACTTTCGAACACATTGCAACGGAAACGCTTTAAAAGAAATTTTCGTGGCTAAGCGCAAACTGGGCAAATACAAAACGTCGAATATATTTTACAAAATTTGCAGCACAAACTTGGACAAGAAGGAAAGTTAACATAAGACAAAAGCAATCGATAACTAATCACTCGGGGATAGCAGTGGCCTGCGTGACCCTGCGAATTCAGAATGGAAAGTCGCACTAATGATCTTGCTTAGTTTGGTAACGAAGCGTTTAAAAATAGAACGCCCAACTCGAAGAATAGCAAGAAATCCTCACTGGATTTATACTGTACATACCTACTCACGCACCAATTGAGAACATAATCCGGATATTTCTCTATCACCGCAGCTGACCAGTTTCTGCCTCGCATCTCGAAAAACACCTTCACTGAGTTTATATGGTTGGCGGCATCCGGTCTCGGATTTGCCTGTCACTGCAACCAGCTACAGGACGCCTGCGCCTACAGAAGACCTATGGGTGGCTTGCGTTGAACCACCCACAGCTCCATCCACACACCCCATATCCACTGCAAACCCGAAGCAATAAGACCGGAGGCAGGTTTCATCAACGGAGCCGGCCCACAATCCTTCACAGACAAACACAAGCACGCTGTATTTGGGGAATCAACCGCACACAAGGCGGTGGCTGGACCGTAGTCCGCTACACACTGAGTGCATGGAACCACTCTTTGATCCTAACAGCCAAAAGAACCGTGCATCCTGTCCCCTCCAGCAACGACCAACTGTCTCCTGGAGCCAGTATGAACGAGGTAGTGGGCAATAGACAGGTAGGCACCTTGTCAATATGCACATCAAGCGCAGCCACACAGGGGAGACCAAGCAACAGCCAATCACTTGAAACGACAAGATGAAATAAAATAAATCCAATAATGCATACAGATACGGTGGCATAACTCTTCGCTAAATTACCATATGAAGTAAGTTGGTTAGTAACAAATCCGCGATAAGTAAAAATTGTCTATAAGTTACTTAACAAAGCTACAAACGCAACAAAGTTACCGAAGATAACCGCAATCAGCGTAAGCGACGCGGCCAGTTAATAGAAGATTATTCAGGTAGGCAGAACAAACCAAATAAAGTGGAATGAAATTTATCCAGCTTAAAGAGACCGAGTTTAAGTGTATGTTGGCATAGCCCAGCTGCAGTGAAAAAGCATCAAGAATGCAACATCAGCCTCAGCATGGTGCACGCTGAGTTTATATACATATATATGTGTATATATATATATATGCATGTAATTCTCAATGTTAATACGTGTAGATGATGTCAAGATCTGGACAGCTAATCGTTCAACATCTGACCATACATAGCTGCAGAACGATCTGAAACAGATTTATGCATGGATAGAAACGAAACAACTTCTCTGAACCTCATAAAGTACCACCTGCTGACGCATGGCAGCAACTTCAACAGCATATACTGGGACAACACGTCCCACAACACGTGACCATTGAAAAAGACAGATACCATCATTCAAGGAAGTCTGATTAATTCGCCTCAATGTTCGAGAACAGCGAATGTGGCGAATTTGAAATAAAGAAAGTTGAGACGCTATCTCGGTACAAGTTAGTGACGAAAACTACCCTTGCTCATGCTTGCGTATATTCGTCCTTACGCTGAATATCCCATTCAAGAGTCCGTGGTTAAAACGAGGTAGCCATCTTTTGAAAAGAAAGGAAGAAAAGCCACAAAGGCAACATGTGGAGTCTCCAGGCTCAATTATAATTGCGATTTACTTTCTCTTCGGCATACCGACTACTTCGCAAAAATCTCAGTCTCACATACCGGATACTAAGAGAAATCATCAAGATCATCAGGATACACCTCACCTAGAGGTGGAAAACGCCTCAGCAACGCTGCCACAAAACATACGAAAAGAAAAGAAAACAGACAACAGGTGCACGAAAGCTGGGCTACCGGTAACGGATTGGCATGGTTCCGAGAAGCAATCAGCCAGGTATTACCCCGCAAACATTTTATTATGTAAAATTAACATTACGATAAAAAGTGAGATTGACGTTGAAAAGGGAAGCTGAGAGGAGCGTGGAGAGACAGAGAAACTCAACGCAGGAACGTCATTGAGAACAGCTCCTAACGATGTCAGCAAGTGTATACAGCCGAACGTGTTTAACCTCTATCGGACCACTACCAGGGAGTCGAGACGCTCAAACTGAGGATAACATCGAAGTAAGGGACTTCGTTGTTGTCGACCAAGTCATCGTTTGACCACCGCTGCTCTTCTTCCATGCGCACACCGGCGCGCAAACAACGCACGTCGCAGCAGCCAATGGACTGGCATGCGTAACATGCGGCCGAGTCATCGGAGCCTGTTGCATGAAATAACGGTGCTGAGCGGTTCATTTCCTTTTCCTGTGCCCTAAACAAGGCGTCGAACACGCTCGTTGCTCACGCGGTGTTCCCACCAGACGTGAGCCAAACTGTGAAGGTACCGGTTGTACAACGTAACTAGCCTCTTTATGTCGCCTGATCTAACGGGCCAGCCGCACAGTAGGGTCGAACGTACCACTGCATTGTACACTCAACTTTTCAGGGCGAGAGTGATGTCGCGCCGGCGTCATAGGTGGCGAAAATTAGCAAAAGCGCCTGGAGCATTTCCTAAAATGTTCGTGATCTCGTCTTGAATCCCAAGTGCGCTGCTACAACATCCCAAGTAGTTCAATTTTTGAATGACTTCTAGCTTATCCTCTAGCTTATCCGTCGCAACGAGACTGGACCTTAACGTGGTGCAAAGGTTTGCGTACCTCCTTGACCCATTGAGCTATACTGTGTGGTGCCTCCAGGCCCATGGAGAGCGACTCCTACTAGGTTGCTCAATGGTTAGAGGAAAGACAAACTCAGTCTCTTGGTTCTCATGGTTGGGGGTTTGAAATCGGATGGCGTCCATTTCTGTAAAACTAAATCATTGCCATCTCCACGCTACCTCAGGGACAGCCTTTTGAGCCAAAAGCTTTGGGTGAAGACCTTACACATCCTCCTGTCTAGGTCTGGACGCCCTGGCAGTATCAGCCCACATACAACCATGACATTTTCTTCAAACATAAACTTCATCCTGCATCGGCCGTCGCGCAGATTATCAAGGGTCGCTTTATCTGCTGCATACAGCAGGGCGGATAAGCGAAAATATGCTACTGCTGGCGTCTCCCTTCTTTCTTTTCCACCTGTTTCTCCTACTCCCATCCCGACCCCATTACTAACCTCCCTTCCGTAAGTCCCAGCTTAATTGACAGCAACCGAAGTGGCACTGGAGTAGAACCACCTGCAGCCACCTCGCGACACGGACCGGACTACTATTGGCAACAGTTCCTTATAAGGCCACGCTGTCCAGTTTCCATGGCGGCGTTCAACGTTCGCACTCTAAGACAAATAGGTCAACAGGCTGCACTCACAAGCACCTTGGACACACTGGGTATTGATGTGTGTTGTGTGTCCGAAACTAGGATCAATGACCCTAATGGGGTTGTTGAATTAACTGCATCCGGCTTATCCTCTCGTTAATGGGTGCACGCATCCAAAGACGCAGATGCAGCACTCACGGGTCAAGCTAGTGTAGGTATCATTCTAAGCTCCCAGGCTGAGCCATGGTTGGTAGATTGGATTCCTGTGAACAGCCATTTATGTGCAGCCCGTTTGACGACATGAGCCAAGGTTGATTCACGAAGTGGTACAAAACGCTGTTTGTTTGTGATTTCCGTTTATGCTCCCACGGACTGCAGTTCTAATGCAGTCAAGGACACTTTCTATCACGAACTGAATGCGCCACTACGTCGTGCTACTAGTTCAGATATTATAGTACTCGCAGGGGATATGAACGCACAAATAGGGCGTCTGAGCTCTCCAGAAGCTCAGCTGGGTGGTTATTATAGGCTTAACTCCGAAAGAACTGACAACGGCGAACGCCTGCTACAAGTGTGTGCGGAGCACCAGTTGCGAAGGACCCAGCGATGGACCCAAATTGACCACATTGCGGTAAGTTACAGGTGGCGTGGTTCCATGCTGCATTGCCGCTCGTACTGGAATACCTGCGTCGACTCTGATCATCCCTTAGTACGATGTCGTTTCTCCATAAACTTTACCGAGTGGCGCATTAAGCGTCTCCACCGTTTGGCAATTGAGAAATTGTCTCAGCCCTCGGTCAGGCAAACCTATCAAGACGCAATGCGTACCGAACTTTCGCTGTCTTGTCCTAATGACACTGAGCTTCAGTGGAATAGGATGCCGGCCGCCATGCACGACGAAGGAGCATCTGCTTGTGGCACTGTAAATTGTCACCGCACCAGTCACTAGATATCAAAGAGCCCGATGAACTTGTTGGAATCCAGAAACCTCCCGGCTGGCGCTGAGCACAACGTGACCTGACAAGCTGTTAGGCGCGAACTCAACCGGGGACTACGTGCTGACAAGGAAGCCTGGTGGACCAGTCGGGCTCAAGAAATGGAGGAGGCAGGAGCAGTAGGCAATTATCGCAAGCTCTTCCAGCTGATCAGCATCACTGGTCCCAGGAAACCAGGCGTCAGTGAGACAACCAGAGACAGCGCTGGTGTACTGATACACAATAAGGAGCGCCGTATGGCTCGTTTGACGGAATACATTCAAGATCAGTTCAGCTGGCCTCCTGCTCCCGGACCTCTTCCTACTCAGGTGATGCAGGACGAGCCATGGACGGTTAGTTTAGAGCCTCCGTCGGAGGCCGAGGTCCGAAACGCGATCACAGCCCTCAATCGCTTTCGTGCCGCTGGCCCGGATTCCCTCCCACCTGCACTATTTAAGGATGAAGGTGAGGTCCTCTACAAAGCAATGACCTCCTTATTCGAATGAATCTGGAAGGAAGAGAGTGTCCCGGCTAACTGGAGCGAATCAACTATATTGGCAATATACAAGAAGGGCAGTCGCACAGACTGTTCTAACCACAGGGCTATTAGCCTAACGCCAGTTGTGAGAAAAATACTGGCCTCGATTTTCGTTCGTCTCCTCACTGTGGAACGGGAATCTCGAATTAGGGAAGAGCAGGCTGGTTTCCGCCCAGGACGTGACTGCATGGACCATATATTCACTTTGAGGCAGGTGATAGAGCAACGCCACGAACACCGCAGACAGACAATAGCTGTGTTCCACGATTTCAAGAGTGCGTTCGATTCAGTCGATTGATCGATTCTGTTCGAAATACTTGCGCGGAATGGTGTTCCCACGAAATATCGTATGTGCTCTATACTCGAACACTACAGGCCGCGTCAGGGTCTACGGTGGCCTGTCGGATAGCTTTCTGGCCACAAGTGGCGTTCCTCAGGGTTGTCCGATTTTCCCATTTTGTTCCATTTCCTCGTGGATTCTATCATGGAGTCTTCCGTTGCGGAATGTCACGATGTATGCGTTGAAGTGCTGCCTGGTGAAAGATTAGTTGATCCTGATTATGCAGACGATATCGTCTTGCTTTTCGACGATGTTGGGGCGGCACAATCAACCCTGAATAGCCTGTCCAGAGTGGTCCCATTATTTGATATGCACTTCGCACCTTCAAAGTGCAGTGTTGCTGCAGGACCGCCAGCCACTTTATGACTCATTGACCCTTGCTAACGAGGAACTCGAGGTAGTTGATCAATTCACTTATCTTGGCGGCTGCATCAACAACGATGGGCGCATAGAAACTGACGTCAGATCACGCATTGCAAAGGCCAGAACTGCCTTCTTGAACTTGCCGCATCTTTGGCGACAGAAGGGAGTTTCCCTCCGTCTGAAAGGCCGTGTATACAAAGCCACAGTGAGAGCCGTTCTGCTCTATGGAAGTGAGACTTGGCCCTCTCAATCTGAGGAGGGCTTCAAGTCTTTGATCATCGTTGTCTGCGAAGCATTGCTGGTGTCGGATTGCACCAGCTTGTCTGCAACGATGATATGCGTAGGCAGGTGCTAGGTGATAATCATGCCAGCTCCCTAAAACAACAGACAGCACTAACTAAGTTGTGATGGCTTCGGCACGTGTTACGTATGCCTGGTCACCGCTTACCTCGAAGGGCCTTGTTTAGTCTGCCAGATGTATTGTGGTGAAAGGGTCGAGGTGGACAGAAGTTGACTTGGCAGCGGGAAATGAAGTCACTGACGACCAAGCTGGGTGCCGTTGGTCCGTCCCACCTTCCGGGCTGGAAGTCCACATGACTCGCCTGGGGCTTGGCTAGAGATTACAGGACATGGCTCGCAACCGACACCAGTGGCGCGTCTGCTGCCGTCTCCTAGTCGGATGGCCTGTTCAAAGTGTGTTTGGTGCTGAATTATCTGCGGGGTAATGGCTGATTATAACGCGGGGCAGTGAAAGCCACAAAGAAGCAGTCTCGCCGATGCCGCCTTATCTTTGCACGATAGCCAGCCGTTTGTGACGGTATGTTGTCTACACAAGGTGTCTTGACTCTGAATGTTTGCTTAAGGCATTAAGATTTTCAAGTAAGTCCCCTTCTCTCACATTAGTATGCTTTATTCCATAGCAGCGAAGCAACAGTTCAAATGGCTTATGTACTGCTGTTGTTGGTATTTTATCCTCACCAATAATCAGCGCAGGAGGCGGTCCATGTCAATCTTGGAGGAAAGCTTTGCACTTCGAGAGTGCAAAGCACAGCCCGAAGCGGCTGACAGCCAGTACTAATCTGTCCAGTGTCGCTTGACAATTTTGGGAGCTGTCACAGATTACGGAATATCGTCAACATACTCAAAGTCAAAAAGTCATTCTCCTGGAAGCAGCTCCACACTGTTTAACTCGTGTACTGTGAACGACATTTCTGTGACTTCTTCAATAGAGAAGTTGAAGAAGTAAGGTGACAGCGGGCATCCATGTCTCATACCACTGCAGATATTGAAGGGCGGCGACAGCTTGCCGTAAGCGCTCATTCTGCCTAGGTATACAGGCCCATCGATCAACCAAATCGAAGACACCTTTTATGTCAAGAAACTCAACAACCGTGGGCCGCCAATATATGTGACGGTGCAAAGTGAACATGTGTTCGATTCAACCTCGACTTCGGCAAAACCCGGCTCGCTCTTCACGAATCTGGCTTTCACAAGTGCCACTAAGTCTGTGAAGGATGACAGAGGCAAGCAACCTGGAGTCGATGGGGATCAGACTGCTTGCTTTATGGTTGCCGCATTCCGATCGTGAGCCTCCCTTGAAAATGGGGACTATAAGGGATCTGCTCCAGTCTGTAGAGACGGTTTCCTGCTCCCACAGCTTTACTTGCAACTCGTTTAAATCATGTAAAAGCGTAGGTCCCCCGAATCTGGAGAAGGCTGGGAGTATTCTATCTGGCACTGCGGTTCTATTCAATTTCAACATTCTGATCTCATGTTCAACTGCTGTGCGAGGTGTGGATACAAGGAGACATCACAGGGAGCAGAGCGATCAGCGGTCGGCGGGAAATCGGGCAATTCGGATCGATTATATTGCTCTTCAAGGTGCTCAGTCCAACGCTCCAAGGGTTTTGTCACGATGTCGATAGGCTGTCCACTCTCGTCACGTTTAGTTTCACTAACACTAGGTTCCTTGCTGACCATTTCCCGTAACAGACGGAATACCTTTCGATGGTTACCAAGCGATCACCATGTATATCACTGCTGACACTGGTCACTTAAAAGAATGCCAAGGTTACGACCTGAAACTGGTGACTCGACACAGAAATAGCTTTACCCAATTAGAATCTGTCCACATAAGAATGTACTGCCAGCATGTGGTGAATACACGAAATATCGCGACATTCCAAAGACCATTAGAATTGTATTAATGTGATAAAGGCTACACAATAGTACGAGAAATTGCAATGTCCAGAATACCAATATTGCACGTTCCACGCTGGAATATTTGGATCATGATCTTATCTTGCATTTACCATCCAGTGGATCTTATAAAACCATCGATATTTATCCCATCATACATTACTGGACTATAAGATTTAATGAATCTTTTTAGGCTATTCACCTCATAGGATTGAACGATGATATATTCAAGATAAACACCATTATAAGTGAATTGTACAGAAATCTCGGATAATATGTTTGTTCAACAATCGCAAGTACCAGACCAAGTTAGTTCTATCTGTTGCCTAACCTGAAGAATTAGTGAGTAAAGCAGTAAAAACCGCGTCCCAACTTTCTGGCACACACTTACCCCAGGTTGCACCGGGGACGCATTGGTCGCTGGGAATGATTTGGAACTGGTTCACGGGACAGCTCATTTTACCCACTCCCCCACGACTGTAAGCGTAAACGCGAAGATTGTACCGCAAACCAGATTTCAGTCCTTCCACGTAACCGAATGTTTGAAGCCCCACGTCAACATCGATAAATGTTTCTTTGAATTCAGATCCCGCTGGCCAGTATCGAATACAGTAACCCTCAACTGACTCTTCGTTCGGATTCGCTTGGACGCCAACCCAAGAGACACGAACTGTGTTTGGTCGATCAATTGAACTGATCGTAACCATCGTGGGAAATTGCTGTGGAGAAATCTTGAAAGTTGTTTGCTCTGTGAAGCTGGATTCAGGTCCATCTCCAGCCGAATTGAAAAGCTACATGGAGGAATACAAAGGAAGCAGCTGATGCTTTCATAGTGCTTACATATAAGTAGACCGTTCACAGGCTAGTTGGCGTAGAGGCAAAAGATATGGGGAAACCAGGAAGTCAGTTAATCCCTGACTCTGGCAGACAATCCAGTGGAACAGGTTGCGAAAATTCAATCGGGCCCGCAGGGATATTCATATTAGTATACAACCGAAATCAAAGGAAGATGGACCAGATGGCTCACTGCAGCACGGTAAAGTGACGTGGACCAGTCAATAGGTGCGATTCAACATCTTTATGTAGATCTGGAAAAAGCAGGCCTGAATTACATATTTCGTCTGAACATGAATGCCAATCCACACCAGGAATACAGCAGAAGCACAATGCGCCATAAAGTAAAAAAGGGTTTCTCGTTAGTGTTCATCCAGAAGGGTTTTCATCAGACTATGCTGAGTGTAGGCTTACCGGAGAACCAACAGTATGGAAGAAAACTTATAATTATCGTCGTTGTTCACGGAACCGAACATTTTCGATCAGATTAGCAACGACTCAGTGTGGCTGTCAATAATACCTATGATGCTGCACGATTAAAGTTAAGTAAAGATAAACTTCGGCATTAATGCAATGTCATTATTTTAAACCATTGAGTTAATATGAAATTAAACAGCACCATTAGAAGTGCAAAATGTTATCAATGGAAAAAAGATACACCGATACACCGGTTGACACGGTAAAATTCTACTATTTCTTTTCGTGACAATTAGTCACATTTTGTAGAGAATGTAACAAATTGTTAGGTGCGGAAAGTATCTCGACGCGTTTTTACAGAACCGGTGTCTTAAGGCAGCATTAGTGTAATTAATATTGTTAAACCAACGAATGTCTCAAAATATTCCTTCAAGTTTGATATATTCATAACAGATGAAGTGAGAAACGATATTTCAGCCAATATAAAGGGTTCACTCAAAGGTTTGCTTGCACACGCACTTTTCTTTCAAAGTCATACTAACTGTTCAACTGAAAGATAAAATGTCTATGGATATCACGTCGTTCTGTGTGTACCAAACCACATTTTCTTTTGGGACAAGTTACAAAGGTTACTGTATGAGACTATCTGAGCGTTGCCAAAAGCATCACCCGGTGTGGTATATAAAAAATATCGTACACCTGGTCCGAATAAATCGTCCAGTCAGTGGTTCCAAACTGAATCACCCGATCTACTATGTGAGAGGTTTCAGTTCAAAACTTTGCAGAAGCCTCATACTTGGATCCACATAAGCAATCGCGATACATTCAAACACCCCCAGATGTATATGCATAAACATTTCACTGGGATTCCGGCTTATCATGACCAGATGCCACCTACGTAGGTTTCGTGTGAATAGAGTATACTCCTATAGCCGTTTCGATATTTTAAATATCTAGTTAGCTTATCCATCCTATTCTTCGAAGCTAGTTATCAAAGGTTATATTTAACTTTGTCATGAATCACTGTAAAGGAGCTTGTCACATCGGGTTTTTATGACAGATGCGGGAATTAGTTACCATAGTATGCACATTTACCACATTTAGCGGCTGAACGTGGGAAGAAGAACGACTATAGTCTGATATATAAACTTGTATATAATCAACAACGTTTGGACAAGTTCGCAACCGCAACTCCAGTGGTGTGCCATTCTAATTACCAATAACAGAGAAAAGTGGGAAGTAAGCTGTCCTGGACATTAGGTTCGCTGAATTACCACGACCTCTATCTACATCGAATGAGATGCTACGAATTTAGAGGTAAGAGAAACAGGATGGTTATTGGTGCATACTGGCTGCACTTTACCAGGATTCACCGTGGAAAACCTTGACTTTGCTTGTGATGTTTAGTACACAGAATTGGAGGTGAGATTCATGGTTACAGATGGACTGGAAATACTCCACAATCAGAGAAAGAATATAGTGGCAAAAGAAACTTATAATTCACAATATTGACCACCTAACACCAGCGGCATGGCAATCCCGCGCCTGTAAGTGAGCGTCGTATTGCATCTAACCCAAACCAAACAAATAAGGAAACTGGTTATTCGATTCATAAAAGATGATCTATCCAACCACAAGCACATCAAACTTATGCGAACAACCGCTCATTATAAGTCACTGGATAGGAGAAGCGAGCAAAAATAACCAAACAGTTAGGGTTTAGTCTGATTTCAGCGTGGTGAACCTAGTGGTGATGTGAAATACCAACCACGTTGAAGGAACACTGCAACCCAGCTGGCGCCTTTCTGCCGAACGGTTTGTAACTGTGTTGTGTTGGTGCAATTCAGTAGTTTCGTTAGAAACTTCGGTTGTTACATTGCGCTTCTCCCCTGTTAATAGATCTCATGAAGAAAAACATTGTGGCCGTGTTGCGGGGAAAAACCAATACAAATTACTGATGCATGGTCACCGAAAAAAACAATCAATTTTTCCAAGGATACGGTTTCATGCGTCGCTCGAAAAGCGATCTTTAAATGGACAGGTGTGTGATGAATCTATCTTCAAATAAACAACTGGGGAAGCAGCGAAGCGCAATCAGATCGAGCGTTTAAAGAGATGAAGTGATTAGTTTATTTGAACATCGCACTATATTACAAATTTGTACATCTAAATGACTTGTGCTGAAGAATTCTTGTCGCATTGGAACTAAATACACTCAGACAACGTGAACCTATTGTAGAGCTTATGATGGAGTGAACGAAGCAGGCAGATAAATGAAAACTAGACCATCTTCAACTACCTAGTGTAAAAGCAACCTGTAAGCAACGCTAGCTCGAAAGAGATGGCAACGGTGGTAAACTACAAAGGACGATAATTGCTTTGTATACCGAAAGAATTATCTTGTTTATCGGGTATGTTCTGCACGAGATGTGTACCCCGCCATAACCATTGATGTGCAAATACCAGGGAAAATTTCTCTGCGTCGCCATCTTTTGGAGACGGTAGCGTGTCCCCTGTGTTTATCATACGACCCTCTGGATTTTATCACTGCACTTACTCTTTCAGGTTCAAAAATGAAACTATAAAGGACAACCTGTAATAATAATATTGTCTCGCACAAAATATATTTTGATGGTAACTGCTGGATCTACGGTGTGGAGTCCAAAACAAACAGCCAAATCTCAAATCGCCTCCTTGTTACATTGGATTGAAATGTGAGATAAACCGGCGAATACATCGGAGAAGATGGGATGAACTACTGGTGGTAGCTTGGGTATTGTGTTCAGCTGCTACGGTGCTCGCGGAACAATGAACGATGAATTTATACGGATTAAGAAGCGCTGCTATACATGCCCCGTTGGATAGTTGGTGGTGATATCAAAATAAAAAGATAACGATAATAATAATGTAGTACTTTCAAGATGAAAAGAAGGACTTATCGTTTGCTAGGCAGTAGTTCTGCAATCCGCATAGATTCACAGCACCCACAGTTAAAACATCAAATAAAACCAAGGTGCACTCCAGGAGTAGCGCTGAGTAATAAAGTGAAAATGGATGAATGCGTCATCCAACCGTCTTTTAAATAATGTTAGTGTCCGCGCAGAGACGACCGATTATAAGAGAGCATTCCACAGGTGACATACACGACTGGAAACGAAATTCCTGTGGCACTCCAGACGGCTATACTGTTCTGTGAGTTTCAATGAGTGACCCCTCAGGTTTGTATTGCTGCTGTGTTGCAGTAAGGAGCGGCACACATGATGTGGGTGGTGCAGAATCAAGTATGCCATAATCAGGTCGCCTCGTAATCTGCGATACCGTCCGCTGAATACACCCAATCGTTTCAGCCTCTGCTCGTATGAAAGATTGCGCATTCCAATTACGTTCTTAGATGCCCGAGGTTGTGGCTGCTTCAGTCCGGTAAGGTCGTGTTTCAACCATGCATGCCAGACCTGGATTGCGTATTCGACATGGGAGCGAACATACGCACCGACCATTTCTTGAAAAATAAAACTACCTATTTGTCCGAACGCCCGTCGCAACATCCCGAGGTGTTGGCTGCCAGTCTTTGAGACCTTTCGGATTGCCTGGGCAACCCAAACCTTCTTGAACCAGTACACCCAAGTCACATTCGACAGTTGGTTGTTGCAGTACATTCGTTCTCAGTCGCTATTAGTAGTTTCTCTGATTCGTACGGAGAGTAGCTTGCATTTAATCACGTTGAATTGCGATGAATTTTGGGTTGATCATTGATATACCGTACTTAGCTCACTCGGAAACAGATGCCGGTCAGCATTCACGTGGATCCTGAGCCAAATCTTGATGTCGCCGGCAAACATTAGAACGTTTGAAGTGACCGCCTGCGGGAGGTAATTAAAAAACACCAAAAACAAACGTGGACCTGGAACTGAGCCCTGCGGCACATTACAATCGACTTGTATAAGGTCCGATAAAGAACTACGAACTCTGGCCACTAATTGCCGCTGAAGGGGGAAGTTGGAAATCCAGCCTAGAAGTGGGTCACGATCCCGTAATACTGGGGTTTGGAAAGTAGTATCCGATGGCCAAGGTGATTGAAAGCCTTCGAAAAATCCAGGTAGACCACAGCAATGTTTTCTCCAGCTGCAGGTGACTCGGTCCAACTAGTGTGTGCGATTAGTAAATTGGTTGTGCATGATCGCACGCCGCGCTGCTCGGGCGTGATGATGTTGCATTTTTCCAGATAACACCAGTGCATCGGCAACAATCGATTCTATGACCTTGGAGAGTATATAGAAAAAAGACAGTGGGCGGTAGTTGAAGGGTTTAGTTTTGCTTCCAGCTTTGTGAATCGCGGTTAATATTAAAAGCTCCTACATAGCATGGTCCTGGTTCTTCTGTAAGCAGTGCTGGAAAAACTGAGTTAAAGGTTCTGACAGTTGGCTTGCTGTTGTTCCCAGTGCGCCTGGATGAACGGTATCAACACCCGGGAGCTGTTTGCGTAGAGACGTCAGCTTCTGTAATACATCCGCCGCAGTATAAGAGACGTGGGTTAATACTG